TTTATCAGCTGTCTCTCTCAGACTGTCGATGGTAGTATAGTCTAATTTTCTTACACCGTCTTAGGTGTTCTTTAAAAATTTACCCTAGCATCATCAAACATGTATGCAGGTGTACAACTTGTATTTTCCTAGTCATCAGGATCTCCAAACATAAAACCTGTTTCATCCAGATCATTCTCATTCAAAATTCTCAAACAACATGGTTTATCGCAATATTGACATCACGAGTCTTTGTACCAAAGATCTACATGTCATTCATACTGCAAATATCATTCTCAAATTTGTACTAAATGAACTTGTCGCTTCCATTTTAAAACCATGAGAGAGAATCCGATTATTCATGCTACTTTTCGGAGTCTGTTTCAAATCCTATCATGATTTGTCTAACCATAGACTCCAGAAGCATGTTCACGAATAACAACTTCTTAGGTTGTCTCATGTAGATTTCTTTATCTAAGTCACCATTCACAAAAGAAGTTTAACATCCATATGATGGTTGTTATTCTACATATTGGTGAATAGATATCAAAGAAATCTACAATTTTTCCTCTTCACCTAGAGCCTTAGCTACTAGGCGATCATTATACTCATAAACTAAACCATCAGGTTTCAGTTTTTCTTTTAGGAATCCATTTATTACCTTGGCTTCATTGCCAGGAGGTAATTCTCAAAAATGCCAAATCTTGTTTGGTTCCACCGATATATTACCCAAGGCTTAACAACCAAGAGGTAACTCTACAAGATTCTAAGTCTTACTAGACTCCACAAATTCCATTTAGTTAATAATGGATTCTCCCACAAATCTGCATCTTTATGGAAGTTCGAACTTCTAGTAGACTTGTAGGATCTCTTCTTAGGGTCTAAATAACAAATTCATGACCAAAATCTTTTCGCGATCTATGGTTCATTTGTCTCTTCTAAGTTCATACCCAGATTCATCACCCCCACTAGTTATCCATTATTTCTAATAGCAGACAAGATATCACCCCCACTATTTCACGATTAAATGGAATGACATCAATGGATTCCACATAACAATGAGTATTTTCGACGGCACAATCACAATTAACCTATGTGTCTAATTCAAGTTTGGAGGTTTGTCCTACATTAACCTAGTTAGGAGGCATGGAATGCCTAAGAAAACCCAGCTCAATTTGAGCCTCTTAATATAAGATGGCTTCTCTCTAAGCTAGGTTAGAATAGCGCAATAGATTGCCAAGCAAACACAATGTACAATCACCATGAAAAATACCTCAATACTTAAATTAAACACCACCATCACACAATCATTCAATCCACACAATTAATTACATGGTAGAAGTTAGGGTTCTACAACACCCAAGTGAAAAGGGAGACTACTTCATGCTAGACAAAGGAAGAACACAAAGGAAGAAGAAAGAAACCATCATTGTGATGCCTCCCATTCTCCTTGTTCTTGCAGAGATCCTCTCTTGAAGAGGAACTTCCAAAATCTTCACTTGGAGCAAACCCTAGCCTATTCTCTCACTTGGTTCGTGACTTTATCTCTCTAGGGTTTCAAGAAGAAGAAAAAGAAGGTTTCTCTCACTTTGGGCTCTCTCCTTCTTCATCCTTTCAACTCTACATTTATACACATATTACGCCCAGTTCACGGCCGTGAACATCAGACCGGGACCGTGAACACATATCAAAATGCGCTGCTTCACTTATCGAGTTCACGTTCAATGGCTTCAGTATCAGTAACCTCTGGAACTCCTCTGGACTCCCTTCGGTTCACGGTTTGTGGTTCCAGTTCACGGTCGCCAAGCTCTAACCGTGAACTGCGGCTGGATCCTCCTCTTTTTCCGGTCTTTGCTCCTTTTCTTCCAACTTTCGACTCCGGGGTTGGTTCCACCTGTTAGACTCTGAAATACATTGAAACACAACAAACCTAGCGTAAAAGCACCCTTCTAAGAGCTCAAATGCCACAAACGACTAAGAGAAACGGGGATAAAAAGTGTACATTTAGGCCCGAATTAGTGTAGTGTCGTGAGTTTCTGATTGGATTTGGGATGATGGAATCCCATTAATCTCCCAAGTGATCGAGTTGGGTTCAACAACTTAGTGCATAATTCCTATACACTAAGCTGTGGGGGGCATTTGTTTACCCATAAAAAAATCAGTTTGTACCACATCGATTAGCTACAATAGATTTAATGGATTTATAAGGCCATCTCAACATTAATAATTAAAAGAGCTAGCAGGGCTTTGTTGGGTTGGGTTTTTGGACCTAAGTGGCCAAACCCCTTCTTCCCTATACGATGACCGACCCGTCTCCTTGCCCCCCATAGCCGAACGATGCCTCCGCCCCTTGGTATGAAATTTGTCTCCCAATAACTGAAGTCTAAAAACAAGGCGGCACAACGGGGTGCCAAACGACCGGGTACCAAGCCATATACCAAAAAAAGGGGTCATTCAAAAACTAAGTTTGGAAACAATGCGAGACAACGCGGTGCCAAACGACCGGGTACCAAATAGGGGGCTATCCAAAAACTAAGTCTAGAAACAAGGCGACACAATAGGGTGGCAAACGACCGGGTACCAAATAGGGGGTCATCCAAAAAACTAAGTATGAAGCTCTAAGGGGGTACCAAGCCTGCAAGACAGCTCTGGTACCCAAACATGGAATTTGGCTAAGTATGGAGCCAAAGGGGTATCAAGCCGACAAAGCAGGCTTCCAAAAGACATGAAAATTGGCTAAGTATTGAGCCAACAGTGTACCAAGCCGGCGAGATAGGCTTGGTAGGCTGAGGGTACCAAGCCGGCAAGGCTTGGTACCAAGACATGAAAAACATGAATTTGGCTAAGTATGGAGCTAAGGTGGTACCAGGCCGGCAAGGCAGCCTTGGTACAAAGACCCCTATAAGGTATCAAGCCGACAAGACAGACTTGATATAAGGTTACCAAACCTCCCAAAAAACTAAGTATGTAGATCAAAGCGTGCCAACCCGACGAGGAGGTGACAAGGTGGCCATCTGAGGTGACTACCCGGCTGGGTACCAAGTCATCATGAACCTGATGTAGAGCCCTTTAGGAGGACTATATGAAGACTAAGTCCCAAGATGGGCTTGGTGGCCCCCTAACGGGGTACCAAGCCGGCAGGGTGCAAGGTACCAACTTGATAAGATTGCAGAAGCTAAGTATAGAGACCAAACCGGCAGGGCTGGCTTGGTAGCAAGGGTATCAAGCCGACAAAATTGGCTTGATACCAAGATGACAAGTTGGTGCCATGATAGTCTCTCTAAGACTAAGTATGGAGACTTGGGGAGTAAAGGGCCAAGTTATCTTTCTGTCTAGGTGGGTAAGATGACCTAGCTATCAAGACGGTTCATCGAGGTGGCTAGCAAAATGAGGAGCGTGGAGCCGTCAGGGCTATCGAGGATGTGATCAAGACTTCATCATGGAGGCTAAGGCAAAGAGGCTCAACCCTATTCAGTCATGACAGGGCGACAAGGCTCAACACCAACCCGGCCCGACATCGAGACCATCAAGTTCCCACCAGCCCCAAGACGGCACAAGGGCCCCCAAGGAGACGATTACCAACTAGTCACCAAGACGGTGACAAGGGACCCCGAGGCGGTTTGGAGCAAGAGGCCAGCTAGCCGTTACCAAGGTGGTTACCAAGGAAGTTACACCTAGTGGCTATAAATAGGAGAAACTAAGATTGTAAACGGGTTCCACAACCAAATATTTGACACACTAGGTCAAATTTTATCTTTTCTCTGGAAATTAGTCAGTCTTTAGTTTAGAAGCTCTCACTGAACCTCCATAGGAGTAGGGTAATTTAACGTAACTTGTTGCCCAAAAACCATCAAAAGCATCAAACACCCTTGTTCGAACATTGTTCGGAGAGGTGTGAACCATGTAATTCATCGTTGTTCAAGAAGTCAAAGGTGTATTAATTGAAATCAAACACAAGAGTTTTTCCTCGCCGGAAAACACGCACAGAAATAGCTTTTGTGGAGCAGGAACAATGTCAGATTAGCTAAGCTCACAAGTTACACCATGGCAACAAAAGCAGGAAACGAAATTTCGACACCAACCCTTCTATTTTTCTTTTTCCGGTACATCTACTAAAGTAGCTACTACAAGCACATCAACAAATCAACGAACAAACTAAGAATTATGGACAGAAGACACCGGCTAAGGCTTTCAGGTTAATGATGTCAAATTCTACCGAAAACAACACAACTAATGGTTACATAGACTACAAACGAGAAGGAATGGGAATCAATTGTCAAAATAAGCAGACATAGAGCACCAAGTAATCAAAGCAAAATCAGGACTCTAGACCTTAATAAATGGGAATAAAGGAAACCGATCAAAAGAGCGAGAGAGTAAGCAAAAACAAAACTGCAACAAGTGAAATATTTACATTAAGACGTAAAAACCAAATCATCGAGTGTACACCGTGACAATTTATTAAATAATTACACAACATATAAGATGTAAAAACCAAATCTTATAAAGACCAGAGCAGAATTCAGATCTAAGAGCCCTAAGGTGCCCCATTAGGCAAAGGGGTTTCTCCTAAATGTCACATTCGTTGGCCTACACCATTTTGGACCTAAGGGGTTGTTTGGGTTATGAAATTGGATGAGACAATTTGTTCTAAATTCCCCAAAATGAAGTAATTGGATAAGTTGCTTTGACTGGCAACACATGATAGGAATGCATCAATAGGGCTGAGACAATTTGAATTGCTTCATTTTGCATCAATATGAATTGACAAAGGACAAGTATTTTGAAATGATGCAACCAATTCTGAGATGAAGCAATTTCAACATAATTAGGTCAAATTTCCTCATTTCTGTAATCCATTATCCAAACGAGCCCTAAATTGAATGCTTAACATCCTATATAGACGACACAAACGTGTCTTAAAAATCTCGGAACAAATCTAGCTAAAACCATATCAACATAAAACTAACTTTCTTTTTCTTCTGGATGAAGGAAACCACACTTTGGGAAATCTCAATCATCTCATCATCAATATCGCTATTTATTTTCACACTCTTCAGTTGATGGCGCCAACATTTGAAATCATTACAACAACTGCCAAAATCGTCTCTCTTCAGAAGCTGCTCGCAAATGCACTGTTTTAACCAAAACAAAATAAAAGTTGTAAATATATTTTGGTCAATAAATTGATTACTACTAAAGTGAGACAAATTCAACAAATAAATATCATTGAGCATAAATTATGAATGTACTTACGAAAAATAAGGGTTCATTATTACGTCGGGTCACCAACAGAAATGTAGGGTGACAAACTCGGAAAAGGCCATCAAGAAGAGCACCACCTCCCTTCTTCACATCAAATGTTTTCGGAACAACCGTCCCCAACTCCAAACGTTCAACAACCAAAGGAGGATCGGAGTCAAATGATGTCACCTGCACCAAATCAAAGTATAAGAAGCCGGAAACCAACTGATGATCATACCAAATCACAGTAGAATTTAACTAGTTGAATCTGTTGCACGAGAACACCACCAATATGGCGAAGGATGATGATATTTGCTATTCGTGATCAAGAAATTTAAACACTAGAGTCCATACGAACCTGTTGCAAGTTGTGTAACTTGTTAAGATTCAGCACCAATTCGAGGTGAGGTTGTGATTGAGTCACTCTGCCGAGGAACTCCCTCAATCCCAGAAACAAATTTTGATTCATGGGTTTCGAACCCGGGTGCCCGCTGGAGGGCGAGTTGAATTCAAATCGGCAGTTGGATGCAACATTGACAATATCTATCGCGGCAGCGTGATCAAGCTCAGAGTGTTGCAGAGTGACCAAATTAGGGGCGTCAATAATCAAAGGAATCGAATTGCTGCACAGAGCAAGGATTACTAGTTCCCGAAGGCTAGAACTCGCAATCCGGAGATGCCTCTGCATCCCCACCCCAAAGCCGCGGAAGCTGCCGATTGCGAGAGAAAGATACCGGAGCAACGGGAAGTTGCGGAGCAAGTGATCAAGATGAGACTGAGAGAAGGGCGAGTGCTTGTAGTATTGAAGGCGTACAACTTTAACACTGGGAGCTGATGTAGGACACAAGAAATCCCAATTGGGATATTAGGGATTGAGAAGAGTAGAATTTAGGGATTTGGAGAATTGGGGAAGAACAAGAGAGAGAATAGAGATTAGGGATTTGAGAATTTCTTATTATTATTGCTTAGTTCCCAAAACTAATGAAATGCATCCTTAAGTAGTAGTAAACCGAAATAACACAAAATAACAAGTTTGCCACTCCTTCCCTCCCCCTCTTTGGCCGACCGGCCCTCTCCCTCTCTAACCCGAAGTCGGGTTTCCCACATCCCCTCCTCCTTCAGAATCGACATCGGCCTCGATGTCGAAGCCCGGAAATCTCTGGCGGAGCACCCCTGACTCCTCCCAAGTGGCATCTTCCGGTTCCACATGCTTCCACTGCACCAAGCTCTCTTCCACCAACCGCCCTCCCTTCTTTGTCCACCTGGTCTCCAATACCTTGAGAGGAACGAGCTCCAAGTCGCCATCTGCTGTCACCGGAGGAGCCGTCGATGTCACCCTGTCCGCCTGGCCCCGGTACTTCTTCAGCAAGGAAATGTGGAACACCGGGTGTATGCGCGAACCTGCAGGCAGCTGTAGTCGATAAGCAACCGGGTTGACCTTGTGGATGATCTCATACGGCCCAAAGTACCTAGCTGCCAGCTTCTGGTATGCCCACCTGAAAACCGAGGACTGCCGGTAGGGATGCACCTCAACAGTACCCAGTCACCCACCTCAAACTCCTCATCCCGCCGCCCTGCATCCTCGGCCTTCTTCATCCTGTTGGTCGCTGCAGCCAAATTAGTTCTCAACTGCTCCAGAGCTTCATCTCTCGCGCCCAACCACCGGTCCACCGCATCCACCGAACTCGAACCGCCTCTGTACTGTACCAATGTCGGGGGTGATCTCCCGTACAAAGCCTCAAACGGAGTCATCTTGATAGACCTATGAAACGTGGTGTTATACCACAATTCCGCCCAAGGAAGCATGGCCAGCCACTGCCGCGGCTGCTGGTGGGTAAAGCATCTCAGATACTGCTCCAGGTGCTTGTTAACTATCTCCGTCTGTCCATCGGTCTGCGGATGGTAGGCCGAGCTCATGCGTAATACGGTCCGTGCCATCGCGAAAACCTCCTGCCAAAACCTGCTCAAGAAAACTGGGTCGCGATCACTGACAATAGACCTGGGAAATCCATGATGTCGCACCACTCCCAAGACAAACTGCTCATCCGCCATCTTCGCAGTGTACGGATGCGCCAAGGGCATAAAATGAGCATATTTCGTGAGCCGATCCACGACCACGAACAACACCGTCTTCCCACCCGAGGGAGGCAACCCCGCTATGAAGTCCATGCTGATGTCTTCCCATACCCGTTCCGGCACCGGCATCGGCTGTAGAAGGCCGGCGGGTCGCAGGTAAGACAGCTTCACTCTCTGGCATGTATCGCATGACTCCACATAGGCTCGCACCGCCTGTGCCATCCTGGGCCAGTAAAAATGGCCTCTAATCCGGCGAAGCGTCCTCTCGGCGCCTGAATGTCCTCCCAACGGAGAGTCATGGAACTCCTGAAGTACTAAGGTGACCAGGTTCGAGCCAGGAGGAAGAACCACTCGCCCCTTGAACGTCACCAGCCCCTGCCGAAATAAATAATGACCCGGGTTATCGCTCACTGTGGTTTCCCGGCAATCCTGTAAATACTGACTGGTCTCCATGGATGCCCGTAACTCATCCCAAAACTGCGGAACGGGTCCCGACACTGCGGCGAGAAGCTCGCTGCCCGGCTTCCTCGATAACCCATCCGCCACCACATTAGTGGGCCCGGGGCGATAGTGAATCTCATAATCGTAGCCTAACAGCTTCGACACCCACTTGTGCTGATCCGGAGTAGACACCCGCTGCTCGAGGAGGTGCTTCAAGCTCTGGTGATCGGTGTAGATGTGAAACTTCTGTCCCAAGAGATACGGCCGCCATGTCTGTACTGCAGTAATAACCGCCTGCATTTCCTTCTTATATGTAGACCAAGCCTCCTTGGAGGGTGCTAGCGTCTTGCTCATGAAGGCAATGGGGTGGCGGTCCTGAGATAACACCGCCCCTATCCCCCGGCCCGATGCATCTGCCTCGATCACAAATGGCTTGGAGAAATCCGGCATGGCGAGAGTCGGAGTGGTCGTCATAGCCTGCTTCAGCCGCTGAAATGCAGCCTCCGCTGCTGGTGACCAGACAAACCCCCCCTTCTTTAGTAAATCCGTCAATGGCCGGGCGATCATGCTGTACCCCTGCACAAACTTCCGGTAATACCCGGTCAGACCCAGAAAACCACGCAACTCAGTCACCGTCGTGGGAACCGGCCAGTCCACCATGGCCTGAATTTTGGACTGGTTCACCTTCACACCCTGTGGAGTCACCATGTGACCCAAATACTCCACCTCCTGCACCCCGAACTCTCACTTGGATGCCTTGATATAGTACTGATTTGCCCGTAGAATCTCGAATACTGCCTGCAAGTGAGCCAAGTGATCTGCCCAAGAAGGGCTGTAAATCAGGATATCATCGAAGAAAACCAGAACATACCGGCGTAGTAGGGGCCGAAAGATCTCATTCATGGCTGCCTGGAAGGTGGAAGGTGCGTTACACAACCCAAATGGCATCACCAAGTACTCATAGTGCCCGTTATGAGTGCGAAACGCCGTCTTATGGACATCCTCTTCCCGCATCCGGATCTGGTGATATCCTGCCCGCAGATCCAGCTTCGAAAAATAGCGGGATCCATGAAGCTCATCCAACATATCATCCACTATCGGGATGGGAAAGCGATCCTTCACTGTGGCATCATTCAGAGCCCGATAATCCGTGCAGAAGCGCCAGGTCCCATCCTTCTTCCTCACCAGCAACACAGGCGATGAGAACGGGCTGGTGCTCGGCCTGATCAAGCCCGTGAGCAGCATCTCAGAGACCTATCTCTCAATCTCCGCCTTCTGCGAATGCCCATATCTGTACGGTCTCACATTCACCGCCTCCACTCCCTCTTTTAACTGAATCTAATGATCAACCAGTCGGTGAGGAGGTAAGGCAGTGGGAGTCTCGAATAAATCCGAGTAATGGCCGAGCAGCTCCTGAAGCTCCGGGTGGAGCACCGGCGGCGCCCCCTCCTCGATCGGCCAACACAAAATGGCCAATTCGGCCTCGCCTTCCGGACCACAGTCCTCGAACGAGATAGGGCCAACAACGGTGGTGAGGCCCTGCAACTGCCAATCCTTATCCCTCCATTTGAAACGCATGGTCAACCTCTGCCAATCACTAGTCACAGGACCCAAGCTCTGTAGCCATGGAATCCCCAAAATGATGTCGAATCCCTTGATTGGCAGTATATATAGATCAGTGGATATAGGCAGACCCTGAATTTCCAAAGAGATACCTCGAAGAACCCCTCCACAGCTCAGGGAAGAGCCATTCGCCACCTTCACCACCATGGAATCGGTGGCCACGGGTACCTGCTGCAGTTGCTTGGCGAATTCCTCGCCCACAAAGTTCAAGGACGCGCCACTGTCGACCAGGGTGATGGCCACGCGGTCCTCGATTCGAGCTCGGAAACGAAGCGTTCCCGGGGAGGCCCAGCCCGCCACCGAGTGCAGCGAGAGGCAGGGCGCGGGCGCGCGATGCGCGGCAAGGTCGGACGCGGCAGTCGCCGCGGGGCGCGGCGCCGGTGGCGCGGGCGCGGCGCTCGGGGAGGAACAGGCCGGCGGCGCGGGCTGTGCGGCGGCGGCGCGCGGTGCGGAGGCGGCGCGCGATGCTGGGGCGGCCGACGGGAGCAGGCGCGCGGCGGCGTGGGCTGCCGAGTCGGGTCGCGCGACCTCCTGCTCAGCGGGTAGCCACCTTCGACCGATGCGGCGAGCTCGGTTCCTCAGTTCTGCCCACGACAGAACTGAGGAACCGATCGCAGGCTCTGATACCATATGTAGGACACAAGAAATCCCAATTGGGATATTAGGGATTGAGAAGAGTAGAATTTAGGGATTTGGAGAATTGGGGAAGAACAAGAGAGAGAATAGAGATTAGGGATTTGAGAATTTCTGATTATTATTGCTTAATTCCCAAAACTAATGAAATGCATCCTTAAGTAGTAGTAAACCGAAATAACACAAAATAACAAGTTTGCCACTCCTTCCCTCCCCCTCTTTGGCCGACCGGCCCTCTCCCTCTCTAACCCGAAGTCGGGTTTCCCACAGCTGAAGAAGAAGATTCTACGGCGAGCTTGACTTGGGAATCTGGTACGTCGATGTCCAGAGTGTGGAGGAGAGGGGCTGAGATGATGCTGAGTTCCAGTGGGTCATTGAAGCACTTAACTTCCAAGGATTTCAATTTCTTGGAGGGGACAATTTCCAGCCTTGTTTTGAGCTCACGAGCCTGGCAATCCAACCTCAAATTCAAGGTCACCAGATTAGGAGCACTGCATAATGAGGTGAGGATACTGAGATCGTTTTCGGACATCATCGTTACAGAGTAGAGATGGAGAACCTCGAGACGCTCCAAGCCAACATTGGCAGGAATTTTCAGGGCATCCAGGTTGACATGGAGGAGATCGAGCACTCTTGTGCGGCTGATATCCAAAGAGAACACTGGGTTCTGCGGATTGGGGAGGCAGACGACAATCTCAATCGCAGATAAGTCCACCAAATTATAATTCTCAAGGGTCTCAGCACAATCGTGAAGCTGGGGATTTAAGGCCCATATCCTGACAGCCTCCAGTAACAACGGATGCCGAGGAGGCGGCTTCTGTTGTTGCGCCAGCAGCCTCTTCGAAGAACTTGTGACGAAGCTGCTGAACTTGACCCTTAAGTCGCCGTTCACCAGAAGGAAATCCCAATGGCAGAACTCCAGGACAGGGTACGTGCGCCAGAGGTGGAGCCATCTTCTCGACAGAGTGCTCGTTCTCGCAACTGCCCCAGGGGAGTTGCAGAGATATAGGATACGGTGGATGATTTCGTCGGGGAGTTGTGATATTCTGTCCTCCTGAGCTGATTGCTCCATCCTGTACAGAAACAAGCAACAAGCTATGGTGGTGGCAGGTTTCTTATCAGGAAAAAAAAAAGATTTTGGGGTTTCGGAAATTGTAGCGACGGCACACCGCCGATATGTGAGTGAGATGATCAATTTAGGGTTTTCCCCCCACTAGTTAAGGAATAAGAGGCAGTAGACTAGACGACGCTGAGAAGAAAATATACTATCAAAAACATGGGACAAGATACGGTAACAACACCCCTATTGTTGTTATAATAACAACAGATGACATTAAGGGTAAAAAGGTAAAATACAACAAAATCATAAATTAAATGAAAATCCAAAATAATCCTCCAGACTCGAGCGAGCCCCAATCCCTGCACTGCCCTGTCCCCATCCTCATCCCTTGGTCTCTTCTTAATCCATTCCCGTGCGCCACCGCCGGCGATTTCTTCTCCTTTCAACCAGTAACCATCATCTATTTACTCTTGAATCCGCTTCCGTTCATTGCCGTCGGCGATTTTTTGTCTTCAACCTGTCATTTTCACCATCTACCGAAAGGGTCAGAAGACCTATAATTAACATCCAGACCCCAGCGGAAATTAGAGGAATCACCGCCTTCCCGATATTTACTGATAATAGGATCTGAAAGTCGCCGCCACGAAAGTCGAGTTCCTCCACGAAGCCCTCACGGAGGCCCTTAGGGACGGTCACAGTCGTCAATTTGGGTTGACGCATTTACCTGCTAGACGCAATGCGACAATTTGGGTTGTGATCCGCTGCAATTACAGCGGCGAGGGTAGGGAAATCAGCTGTCGGTTGTGGGCGGTGTTTCCGTTAATTGTCATCTGAAGGTAATTTGGTGATAAAGGAAGGATTGCATGCAAATCAGTTATAGCTAACCCTATCTAGCTTCGTTTCAAAGGAAAGCATGATGAATCCCATCTCCAGAACGATCCAGTTCCATAAGACCCCAATCAGAACCCAAGGCACATAAGTCCCACACTTCATCTACTTCCTCATAATTCTCTTGTCATTCTCATCAACACGAGCTCAAATGGCCACATATGCTAGTCTAGATATCCTAATTAGAAACTACAGTACTCTCAGTGGCAGCTTGAACATGACCAGAACATGGGAAAGTCAAAGTCTTCACCTATTGTCGTATTTCTCATATAATACTCGACAAATATCTTTAAAAAAATTTATAAAACAAACAAAAATAAAACTCTTAGACGTGAGCCACAAATTTCAAAGCATACTATTATTACTAGAAAGCATACCACAAATGTCTTAAAACAAACCAGAAACTGGAGAAAACATACCACAAACATCATGAATCATACTAGAAACACCACAGAGTATACCACAAAATTTACTAACGCACACCAAAAACCTCCTAATGCACTCCACAAATATCTTGAAGCAAACCAAAAATACCACAAAACATACCACAAATATTTCTAAAGCACACCAAAAATCTTCTAATGCACACCACAAATCTCATGAAGCAGACCAGAAACAACACAAAGCATACCACGATTATTTCTTATAACAAACCATAAACAAGAGAAAACATAGCACAAATATCCTGAAGCATATCTGATCACCATAGAGTATACCACAAAATTTTATAACGCATACCAAAAACCTCTTAATGCAACCCAATACCCACTATTCTCTTGAAGCATATCAGAAACACCACCTACAAAACATACCATAAAAATTTCTAAAGCACACCAGAAACCTCCTAATGCACACCACAAATCTCATGATACACACCAGAAACACCACAAAACATACCACAATAATTTCTAAACCACAATAGAAGCCTCATAATGCATACCAAACATCTTCTGAAGCATACCAAAAATACCATAATGCATACCACAAATATTTCTAAAGCACACAAAAACCTCCTAATACAAACCAGAAACACGGCAAAGAAAGCTACAAATTGCATGAATCTCATAAAGCAAACCAAAAACCTCCTAATATTTGATGTGCTTTAAAATATATGTGATATGCTTTGTGGCATTTATGGTATGTTTTTGGAGATTTATAGTTAGCATTAGGAGGGTTCTAGAGTGCTTTAGAATTTTTGTGGTATGTTTTGTGATATTTTTGGTTTGTTTTAGAAGATTTGTGGTATGCATTCATTAGGAGGTTTGTTGTGTACTCTAGAAATATTTGTGTTGTTGTTTATGAGATTAGTAGTGTGTTTTGTGAAATGAGTTGTGTTTAGATTTGTGGTGTTTTTTTGTGATTTTGATATGCTTTACAATATTTCTAGTTTTTTAAAATTCACATGTATTCCAGTATGTTTTATGAGATTTATGGTTTGATTTCTCTTGTTTTTAGTCAATTTATGAGATTTTGTAGTTTGGTTTCTCGTGTTTAAATTCAATTTATGAGATTTGTGGCGTTCTTTATGATATATGTGGTGTGGGTAAAGAGATTTGTGGTTTGCTATTTGAGATTTGTAATGTGTTCTCTCGCGATTCTGATATACTTTATGAGATTTATAATTTCCTTTCACGTGTTTTAGTCACCTTTATAGATAAAAAAAAACAATAATATATACTAGAAACATAAAATATATACCAAAACAACCACAATTAATACCAAAATAATCACCAAATCATACCAAAAAATATTCAAAACAAAATTAACATAAAGCTGAGCGGCGCTTCCAGCCAATAAAAGTTAAAAAAACAAATAATTAAACAACACCGCCAAACTGGACGGCCCCGCCGTCTACTCCTACTCCGGCATTTTTTGACCGACCCTAGAATTTGCATCGTAGCTGGCGTCAACCTCAACCACACCGACATCGGCGGGCACCACCCTCCCGAGCTCGGCCTCCTCACAGATCTGGCCCTCTTCCACAAACTCCAATCGCTTCTGCGTCAAAAAAGAGGCGGCTGTAGGAGATGTAGCTCTTGCAGAATTGCTCATGGAACTTTTGAATTCGTTTCTTTCAAACTCAGGTCGTCGTCGGTTTGTAATCTACTTTTCAGATGAGAGGCGACGGAGATGGTAAAGGAGTTCGACAGCCGACGCCGATGGGGAAGAAGAAGCGGCGGCAGGGGTGGGATCGAGAGAGGTGGGTAACACAGTGAGGAGAGAGAAGTGTTACGTACAAAGGAGAGAAACGACCTGTTTCCCGGAGGAATGAATTTTCAAGAATGGCGAATCTGCCCTTGTTTGATTTTTACCCTATATTAATTGAGTCAACCTATCTAATTAAAAAGTCAGCATAAATCTAACTTTCTATTGGTTGTGCATTATTGTTGTCACAATAACAACAAAGTAGGTGTTGTTACCCTATCTTCTCCCCAAAAGGATTTTAAAAAAAGAAAGAATAAAAGAACGGGGGAATATGTGCAGTGTGCTACGTAATAAATAACAAAAACAAACCAGAGAGAAGCCAGGCCAAGAATCATACAGAAATAACCAAATAAAACAGCAGGAACAATGTCAGATTAGCTAAGCTAAGCTCACAAGTCACAACAGCCATGCCAGCAAAAGCAGGAAACTAAATTTCGACACCCACCCTTCTCACGCTCTCTTTTTCTGGTACCTCGACTAAAGTAGCTACTACAAGCACACATCAACAAACAAACCAAGAATTATGGACAGAAAACTGAAGCCAAGGCTTCAAGGTTAATGATGTCAAAGTCTGCAGAAAACAACACAACTAATGGTACATAGCCTACATATGAGAAGGACTGAGAATTAATCATCAAAATAAGCAGACATAGAGTACCAAGCAATCAAGCAGAACCGGGACTGGGCACCGGGACGTAGACTTTAATGAATGGAGATAAAGGGAACGGATCAAAAGAGCAAGAGAGTATGTAAAGACAGAAGCGCAACAACTAAAAGCATTGAGAAATGAATTGTCACAGAAACAAAATTGTTTGAAGCTTTCTCCTTAAATCTAATTTATTTGAAGCGATATGCTAAGGAAAACTAAAGCCTAACGTAGGAAATATCAAAATGCTGCTCACAGACAAATCCCTGAGGAACATTTATGCTGCAATGCTTACTTTTTCATCTGATCCTATTTCCTCATCTAGCTCTTTCACCGCCCTTATAAGGCCCTTAGTAATGCCGTTCAGATGCAAGCCACTCTCTTTCATTTGTTCCAACAGCTCTTCTGCTCTTCTCCAATCTAAGGCCTTCAAACAAAGGGACTGAATCAACTTAGTGTACTCATCTACACTAGCCCGAACACCAAACTCCTTCATCTCTGCCAACAACTCTAAGGCCTTGTCATATTGTTCGAGTTTGCAGTACCCACGAATAAGTGTATGGTACGATACGGGACTTAACTTGGTATGCTTCTTTTTGGCCTCTGAAAGTAGTTTGCAAGCGTCTTCCATGCAGCCACCACTAACATAACCACTCATAGCCACAGTGTAAGTGTAGACATCGGGTTTTAGCCCCCTGCTTTTCATCAGCTTCATTGTCTTCATTGCTCCATCCATATCCCCAACTTTACAATAAGCATTGATCACCAAATTGAAAATAGCATTTCCAGGAGGCGGACCATCAGCAATCATCTTAGAAAGCAACGCTTTTGCCTCAGCGACATCCTTAGATCTACACAAACCATGCATAACAGAGGCAAAAGGTTTGATTGCATATTTCCTAGATTCCCTAGAACAGCCATCCAACATCTCGAGAGCTAACTTTACAGTCTCATCCTTGTGAGCAAGCCAAGCAATCAAAAAATTGGTAGCCGGCCGTGGTGGGTACCTGTTTTTTTCCTTCGCCAACAAATAAACCATATGTGCATCTCCTGCCCTGTTCGCTTTGCAGAACCATGCGATGATCTTTCCAACCTTCTGATGATCCTCAGGAAGAGCTTCCACATTCAGCATTTTCTCACAAATCTCCCACGCCCAATCAAAGAACGATCTTCTACAGAGTGCTTCAATTGTATAATAGTATGTATCTGAATCAGGGACACAACCAAAATCCCCCATCTTGATGAAAACATCGTAAGCCGCCTTGCCTTTACCCAACTTGGACAGCAGGGAAATCAAAGGGTTAACAATCTGTGTATTCAACAGAGTGCCTGCTTCCCCACTATTATCACCAATCTCCACAATCAAATCCCACAGTGCGTATGCATCCTTCTTCCTCATGTGACACCCACCGCATATCGCCTTAACAAGTGCCTCAACCAGTTGGGAAGTCACCACGACTGAACCAACCTGCTTGCTTCTAGCCCAGTTGAAAAACCTTATCAGATTTTCGCCCAAAAGGTTCGGCGTCTCGAGCACTCTCAACACTAACTCTTCGTGTAAATCCAACTCCAACCCATTAAGCGTCGACTCAAGAGATCCATCAGCACTGCTCTGCAGCAGAGACAGCACGCTCTCCAACTTCTCTGAATCAATCTCGTAGACACGCTCTTCTGTCGGCAATTCATCAACAGCAGTTTCAGGGCTGAAATGATCAGCTTCGTTCAACTCCTCCTCAATACCAACGCCCGTTTCGGCATCCCCTAACCGCTCGATGTCACCACTCTCAACGAAATCATGGTGAACGGGAGCAGAGGGGAAGTCGAAGCCATCCGCCGCAGAGTGCGACGGTGGCGGTGTCTCTTCTAGGGTAGGGGTGGCGGAGGAAGAAATGAGCAGAAATCTGAAGTGATGATGCGGGGACGAATGAGATGAAGGTCGGAGTAGTACCTTGTCGAGTATTTGAGTAACCCGGCTGGATTTGGCGGCTACGGACCTCCACATACTCACTGGTTAGCCGCGGCCAAGAACCCTAAATTTCAGCGGAGGTTTATGAGCGGAAAGAGTAGTTATCAGGGTTTTATAGATCAATTGAAGCTGCCTCCAATCGCAGTTTCCCGCCGTTGCCGCTCCGTAAGGAAGAAAGAGTCGCTACCGCTTAGCCGAAATCAACAGCTCATGAGTTCTCTGATCGGTCGAGTACGATGAACAACAGTACAACACTCGGGAACAGCACTAAACAGTGTTACAGTGAGCCCGAAGGGGATCTGTTGAAATTTTCCTTTGTAATTCACAATGTTTCAAGGGTATGCCAATTCAATCCTTCAAGTTTACAGGATTGACTAATATCATGCACGAACTTCATTTTGTTTTTCTTATCAAATGGTGCTTATTGCTTAATGCACCTTTGACCATGTTGGCCATATGCATATGCATAGGTTTCAGACAAGGTCATAAATCAAATTTCATCTCTTTAAGCTCTGATACTAAGGTTGTTTAAGCCTGGAATGTACCGGGCAGCTGGCCGAGAAATCTCGCACAGGCGATGGAGAATCCCCGACCAAGTGCTGTCGTGTATAGGTGACCACTTTTCTTGGGATCTCGTCTCTCATCGAATGCGTAGCGGTGATGTTGACTCCTACACCAAGGGTCCAGAGGCGATAGCCTTGCACACTCTCCAAATAGTAAGTTAGAATGTATTTAGAGAGAGAAGAGTGAGTAGTTCAATTAACATTAGATGATGTGACTGGGTGGTATTTATAGCCAATGACCACTCGTACGAGCATTTAATGCTCTACCATGTGTGTACTGAGAGTCACTTTCTCGAGGTCACGCTTGTGGTCACATTAATGTTGAGTCAGTGTTGGTATGATTAGTACTACTGTTGTCTTATCGACGTACTTTACTTATACTTCACTCGCCCCACTTAAATGCCTAGTCTATAGCCTTCTGTCATTAACTTCTCGTTGTACGCCTTACGCTCTCGCGTTTCTCATTGGGACCGGTTACTATGACAACACCCCATGTGTTGTTATAGTGACAACACTAGTCTTCCACCAATAGGAAGGTAGGGATGTGATGACTTTTTTTTAGTTGAGTTGACCTAGTGTAAAATCAAAGCAGGGGTATAATTGTCATTATGAAAATATATTTAAATAATAAAAAACAAAAAAATTAATTTTTTATTTTCGGCCAAAATTTTTGGTCGCCGGAATTCTGCCACCGGTCGCCGGAAACCGGTCTCTGATCACTGGAATATGCTTTTTTTGTCGCCGGAATATGCTCACCGTCGCTGGAATATGCTCACCGTGGTCGGAATATGCTTACCGGCGTCGGAATCTAGTCATCGGGGCCGGAATATGCATATCGGCGCCGGAATCCGGTCACTGACGGTCATCGGAGTTTGGTCAACGATTTTCGTTGACCGGTCAACGGTCAACGACCACCGGATGTTATGGTTAGCATTGGGAGATTTATGGTTTGGTTTCTCATATTTTTTTATGCCTTTTGTGGTTTGGTTTATCGTGTTTCTGGTTTGCATTGAGAAGTTTCTGATTTGTTTTCAAAAACTTTGTGGTTTGCATTGTGAGGTTTCTGGTTTGTTTTAATATATTTGTGGTTTGCATTAGGACGTTTATGGTTTGGCTTTTGTGGTTTGATTTACTGTGTTTGTGGTTTGCATTAGGAGGTTTCTGGTATGCTTTCGCAAATGTTGTGGTTTGCTTTGTGGGGTTTGTGGTTTGTTTTAGGAGATTTGTGGTCTCCATTAAGAGATTTCTGGTTTGCATTAAGAAGTTTCTGGTGTGCTTTCGAAATTTTTGTGGTTTGCTTTGCGAGGTTTCCGGTTTGTTTTAATATATTTGTGGTTTGCTTTGCGAGGTTTCTGGTTTGTTTTAATATATTTGTGGTCTGCATTAGGACGTTTTTGGTTTGCTTTACCCCGTTTATGGTTTGCATTAGGAGGTTTCTGGTATGCTTTTCAAAATATTTATGGTTTGGTTTGTGAGATTTCTTATTTGTTTTAATATATCATCAATTCCATCGGTTCACTGCCATTCAAAACACAACACAACACAACACATTCAAAAGCCACCATTTTCAAATCAACTCCACTGGCGGATGCAATAACTCCCAACAGGCAACTCAATGTTACCTGATTAACAAGTACTACATGCTGATCATGCAGCTGCTAGATTATCATGTCGCACACTGTTGTTTTCCCAAAAGCTGCTCCTCCAGCAACTCCTCTAATACAAAACATGTTAAGTAACAAAACATGATAATAATAAAAAAACATAGAAGTATTGGGAATTGCAAAAAAACATCAAGACAAGCAAAATCTTTAGTTTTCTCATCCAAACATACTCCAGCTTTTTAGGAAAAAATCCCAAAGTTCACTAGTTGTTAAAAAAAAATTCCAAAATACATAAGTTATAAATTTTTTTTCAAAAGTACACATATTTGAGCATCACCGTTTTTGACAAACGCAGTGAAGACTATCACCGCGTTTGAAAAAAACGGTGAACATTTCACCGTCTTAGTTTAAAACGGTGAAGGCATCACCTTTTTAAACAGAGACGGTGAATGCATCACCGTTTTAATCAAAAACGGTGAGGCCTTCACCGTTTTAATGGTCCACGGTGAAGCGACGCGGATCGCTGACGTGGACCAACGCGGGGTATTCACCGCGTTAGACAAACACGATGAATACCCCGTGTTTGTTTACGTCAGCGATCCGCATCAATGTGCTTTCACCGTAGCCGTTAGATGCGGTGAGGCGCGGATCGTGGTTTTCTTCCCACGATCCGACGCCTCACAGCACGCCACGTCGACTCGGGAGGAACCGTCTTTGGGAAAAGCGAGGCATTCACCGCGTCCCTCAAAGACGGTGAATGCCCCCCTAATAACTGCTGCGCAGTTCCTCCCCCCCCCCCCCCCCCCCCCCCTTCCGCCAAACTATAAATACCCCCTTCCCCTCCAACTTACAACTCACCCCACAACAATTTCATTTCTTTCTCCCTCCATTTATCTGCTCTAGTCTCGTTCTAAGTATGCTCTGTGGTTGCGGCTAAGTCTGATCTTCCACATCAGAAAGAATTACTAGAGTTTGACCCTAAAGCCCCCGTCCTGCTAAGTTCCCGTCCCTTACAAAACTAAACCCGTCGAACCTCTGTCCGGCTTCCGCCAAAAATGGACGAAGAGGCTCTTCGTGTAGGTTTTTGGTTTATGATTTTTTTTTAATCGAAACAATTTGATTTTGTGCTTTTTTTTATCAAAACAATCTCTGAATTACTTTTTTATAGATGGGTGTCGAGATATACGATCCTCGATTGTATATCCATTATGGCCCAAGGGATGCGAGTCTCTTAACCGATCAAGAAGCTCAATGCCCCGTGCTATTTGGGATAACAATCCGGTAATTTTTTGAGTATTCTTGCTTTATTTTATTATTTTCTAAGGTTTTATTTTGCTTTATTTAATCTAATAAATTGATATTTTCCCTAATTGTTTTAGGAATCTCTTGTACCCGTGGTTCATAAAGGGACCAATAACTTGCCCGCTTGGCATCCAAGGTTGGAGCCCCTATATAGCGAGGACCGGTTTGGGAATGTTGCGTCATTTCTTGCGGATCGAAATCGACAACGATCTGCTTACGGCAATGGCGGAACGATGGCGTCCCGAAACCCATACATTCCACCTTTCGGAGGGGAAAATGACGATCACCCTCAAAGACGTGGCGATCCTCACCGGGCTTCCTATTTCTGGAGATGCCATCATTGGTTCCACGACCAAACCCGAAGGAGGTTGGGGGCCGCTCATACGTGATCGTTTGGGCTTCGACATGCCGACCACCACACCAATTCAAGGACGGGGGCATCCACCGTTGAATGCGGGCCAAGTGTCGGTCCCGTGGCTGGTATCTCACATCCAGCAAGAGGTGGAAATCAATGACGAGACACCGGAAGAACAAGTCGAGCGCTACGCCCGCATCTACCTCATCGGTTTGGTGGGTGGATTTTTGTTCCCCGACAAGTCCAACCGGTGGATTCAAGGCATATGGTTGCCATTGTTCACTGGTGACTGGGATGCAATTGGAGAGAAGAGTTGGGGATCGGCCGTGCTAGCGGGCGTATACCGGGAGCTGTGTACTTGCTCGAAAGTTGGGGCAAAGCAAGCTGGTGCTGCGATGTTCATCCTACAACTGTGGGTATGGGAGCATCTTCCAATGTTCGCACCTCTCGACCCACGTCCATACCGGAGAAACGATGATGAGCTAAACTTTCTGCAAAATCTCTCCTACGGTGTCAAGTAAGTTTATTTCGTACTTAGCCTAATTTAAATTTTATTACATGCTTAGCTAGATTTAAATTGAATTTATTCCATACTTAGCCCAAGTTAAATTTTATTACATGCTTAGCTAGATTTAAATTGAATTTATTCCGTACTTAGCCCAAGTTAAATTTGATTACATGCTTAGCTAGATTTAAATTGAATTTATTCCGTACTTAGACCAATTTTATTTATTATTTGCTTAGCTATATTTCAATTAAATTGATTCCGTACTTTTACTTACAAGGTGGATAGGAGCAAATACGAATGACCATCAACCTGAGCATTCGTTACTGTTTTATCGTTCTGAGTTAGATAAACCTTGGTGGAATCAGGTAATCATGTTTTGTCCATATTTGAACAAGTTAAATTTTATCAGTGTAAATGGTCGTTAATTCCGAATTTTGAATGAATATAGGTTATATGGGATCCATATCCACGTGAAGTGTTTGAGCTGCATCATCTTAGACACCCTCTAGATCACGAGACGTGGTTGTGCAAGGTGCCATTGATCTGCTGTCACATGGTGGAATGGCACCTACCAGTTGGTAGAATACCTGAATAACCGGTATGCAGAACCCAAAACCGTCAATGCATGGTTTAAAAGCCCAAAAAAGACGATGGAACATCAGCTTCTCCTGTACTCGAACTTGATCCTCAATGTATACATTGTTGTATACTGGGACGAAAACAGTCCCAGGATTGGACTCCTCCATTGCTCCCATAAGTCTAGGGAGTAAAGCATACGAATCCTCCCAATCACCATACACCTCAGCCATGACTTTCTGCTTTCCATGCCATGCTTTTTTGTACCTTATCGTGTAAGAATGTCGATCCTTCACCTCTGCCATGATAGCTTTCACCTTGATATCTGGTTGTGCTTCTATAAGGTGCTTAATAGTTCTCCCAACTTTCTTTGCTTTTAATTGCCTGTGATCTTGGGAAAGTATAGAAGAGGAGCATGTGTGGATCGTCTCAGCTTTGCGAATCACCCAAGCACCCTTTCTCTTCATATTTGCAGCCCGCAGTTGCCACGTACAACCCTCTGCATCATGCTTGCATATGACATGTAGTTGTTTACTGTCAGAATAGTTTACCTTCCACTCGAAATTGCGCCTCAACGCCTCTTCTGTAAAAGCATCCTGCACAGCGTCTTTCGATGTGAACGTACTCACCTCCAAATTGGCCGTCGGATTGTACACTGGCATAGGGACAAAGTCGGGGGGATCATTCTGACTATGTAAAAATTGAGTTGGAACCTGTGTGTAATATGGCGTGGGTGCCTCACGAAATGCCGCCTCATCCTCGTTATCATCAGTATCTTCCTCCTCCTCGCTCACTGATCTCAAATCTTCCTCAGTATCCTCGTCGCTCGACTCGAATGGATAGCTCGGGCCAGAAAGATCAACATGACCACGATCACCAACATTGTCTTCTCACTCATGTGAAGTACGACCAGATCGAATGGTATTCTCGATTTCAGACCACTCTGGCCCCCAAGGAGGCCATTGAACACCATCAGACTCAACAAATGGGGCTGGTTGAGGAGGTTGCGAGTATTCTTCCGATGGCACCCATCCTGAACTACTACCTCCACCGTAGTTGCTCGAACTACCACCCCATCCGTACCCTCCTGCAAAACCATCATCATAAGAATACTGGTGAGAATGAGATTCACCGACCGCCTCGGTCTCAACATACACCTCTGCAAGCCGGACTTGGTTATCGCTTAGGAACTGTAACATCATCGTAACCGCGTCATCATCGTTTATGACAACTTCTTGGAACACGACCCCGCCAGCACTCATGTCTGGATACCGGTAAGTAATTTTGCCAAGTCTCGTCTGTCCGCTCGTACAAACCCTGTCTGCACAAATATCACATAGTTCTTGAAAATTGAATCGGGAATCAATTTTCAGCATAATGGATTCGCCGTCCTCATAATCAATGCATATGTCAGAGTTTGTCACCCTTCCATTCCACCGAATAGTAAGATGAAACTTCTTGAATTTACCCATACCTACAATTTACAATAAGTATCTATTAGCTTAAAGACAGTAAAATTAACCAAAATCATATTGTACAACTAATATTATCTATCTCATAACTAACGAACATAAATTCAACTAACTAACAACAACATAAATTCAACTAACTAACAACAACATAATACGAAAATTAAATCATACTATAACTAACGAACATAAATTCAACTAACTAACAACAACATAATACGAAAATTAAATCATACTATAACTACTAAAAACATAATTAGACTATAATATGAAAAGTCTCAACATACCGAAAAATTTCTGTTCTGTGTATTATGCTCGATTTTGGTTGCTGAAATTTGAAGAAAGGGGAGTGGTTATGTTTTTACAACTGCTGGTGGTGTGCTATTTATAGGAAAATCTGCCTAATATTCTCCGTTTTTGCCGAACACGGTGAACACCATCACCGCGTTTGTCTCAAACGGTGAATAGTTGGTAGCTGTGACCTAATTTTGACCTACCAGGGGTGGGAAACATGGGAAAAGATCACCGCGTTAACCTACAACGGTGAAAGTTTTCACCGTTTTTAATTAAAACGGTGATGTCTTCACCGTTCTAATCAAACGCGGTGAAAGCATCACCGTTTTAGACGAACGCGGTGAATACGTCACCGTTTTGCTTTTCAACGGTGAAATATTCACCGTCTTTGTCAAACGCGGTGATATCCTTCACTGCGTTTGTCAAAAACAATGAATGCCAAACATGTGTACTTTGAGAATTTTTTTTATAACTTATGTATTTTGGGAATTTTTTTTAAGAACGTGTGTACAGTGGGATTTTTCCAGCTTTTTAAGTGTTCTTAATTCCTATGGTTAACCGTTTCCATTCTGCACAGAACAGAGCAAAAAAAGAAAGAAAATCAAGGGCCGCCGGACTCGACCCGAGCCGACCATGGATATCGTTTCCCACCTCCCCGAAATCCTCGTGGCTCTAGCCGCGGCCGCATTCATCCACTTATGGTGACTGGGCAACAAACGGAAGCAGCAGCAGCAGCAAAACAACCCCAACCGCCGGGTCCCCAAAATCCCCGGCGCTCTGCCTCTCGTCGGCCACCTCCACCTCCTCGGCGGCAACCATACCCTCTTCCGAAAGCTCGCCTCCTTCTCCCACAAATACGACGACGTCTTCACAATTTCACTAATCCCAATTTCCCATAATCATCAGCGCCACCCGGTTCCCAGACGTCTGTTGGTCTTCCCTGGCCAATTCCGTCGCGTCTCTCCAGAAATTCCGTACTCCAATCAACCTAATTCAGTCCGCGATTTCAATTTCCTCTTCGAATCTCTCGATCGCGCAGTCGATGGTGAAGTCGATTCTGGGATCCTCCTCCTCCAACATCAACCGCACTACCGCCGCGAAAAACTGCGTCGAAGTCCTGGCCAACTCGCAGCACCGCATCCAGTCCACCGCAGCCGGAGAAGCCCTCCGCTGTGGGGAGGAGGAATCAAGGACGCTCGGGCGTGAGAAGAAGGTCGAAATTGATCTAGAAATTGGGATATTTTAATTTAATTTTTATTTTATTAGATATATGAGTATATTTACTCATATACCCTTAATGAATCCTGTTGTTAGTATCCGGACCCTTTCTCATTGGGCTGAGTTGGCTTATATGGGCCTAGGTTTAGGTGGCAATCCCACTTAGCACAACCGTTGTCAAACCGATTTATACTATTGTTTCAATTTAGTCAGTGAAATGATTTAACCGGTAGTACAAATTATTTGTACTGATCCATAAGTTTAACGAAATATTTAAAAACGTGAAAACCCACTAATATTGAATTTTATTGAGGAATGAATAATCTCAAGATACATGACTTGGTTCTATTTTTTCTGCTTTCGTGATACACGAAGGGGAAAATCTCTTCCCAACTAATATGCGAAACTTTGTGCCTAGATCGTCCTGAAGACATGCGATGGAAAGCAGCATTAAGGCCAAGTCCAATGCAAAACCCCAAATTTGGGGATTGAACCCCATTTTTCCTTCTTTTGCTCCAATGCAACAAACTCCATATTTGGGGTTTTTAATATTTCTAGTTTTTCTATTTACTTGAAAATATACTTATCGTAGCCTTAATATAATTTATTCATGTTAATTTTTGTATAGTACGTCATCATTTTTTAATCCAAATTTTTCGATAGAATTTTGTAAAATTTCGAGTCCGAATTTTTTTGACAAAAAATTATGTACCTAATTTGGGTTTACACACAACACTTGAAAATGATTGATATAATTGAATCCCTAACTAATCTCCTAATTAAACTCTCAATTAACCCCTAAAATCTTAAAAAGATAAAAAAAAACCACGTGGCGGGCTTTGGTGAGCCTCTATATTTGGGGATCCCTCATTTCCCCCTCCAAATTTGGGGTTCCATATGCAGGAACCTCCATTAAATGGAGGCCCAAACCTCTCCATTGGACCATCTCCTCCTTCATTTTTGCATATTCCCCCATAAATGGGTACCCATTGGACTCAGCCTAAGCATGGTAAAAGTAAAGGTCATTTAATTAGCATAGGCACATAAGAGAAACGAAGGACCTTTCAAACACTTATGGACAACAACTCACAGGGACTTCCAATCTTCCCGAACCCAAGCAACCAAGTTATGCTGCATATGGATGGTAGATTTTCCAGTTTCGATTACAAATAAGAAAAGGAAGCAAACGAATCCAAAAGCACACGCTAACACATCCTAGTTAAAAGGCCATCCTGAATGACCCATCTGCTGATGAGTGTTTTCATTCATAGCTAAGGTGATAGCTGGTACGAGAAGTGCGGAATGGCCAGAAAGAAGAGAAAAGGCTCCTCCTTCCTTCTCTGCCACTCGTCCTACTTCTTGAACTTGATGAGCCAGGATGACTGTGGCCACCACTCGAACCCTGCAAAGGAAGCTCCTGGCGGCAAACAGGGCACGAGTTATGCTGTACGAGCCAGGGAACTATGCAGTCAGAGTGATATAAATGGTTACAAGGCATTTGCCTTGCTTCGGATCCAAGTTCGAACTGATCCTTGCACACTGGACAGTGAGAATCTGACCCCCGAAGGTGCCTTTGAGTTATCTTGACTGTAGGCATTGCATCGATCGATGATCGAGCTGCTGGTGCTGGCCCTGGCCCACGCCTGACATTTGTGGAGAGGTGCTCGAACAATTCTTCGAGACCGGGACCGATGAAATAATCACCACCGTTGCCCCTCGTGACCTCGATTCCTGGGGCTCCAGGGAAAAGCGTGTCCAACCCGCCATTCCCTGATAGCCGAACTGGGATTTGGCCACCGAAAATGAGCAGGGGACTGAACCCAGGACCATGTTCAGGAACTGGATCCGATGACCTAGGCCTCATTTCATGGCTACGATCCTGTTCATCTATTCTTTGCCTCATAAGGGCAAAAAAGGCATCCATGAGTCCGGAACTCTGGTCGTGACCAAAATCACTACCGTGTCCGAAGTAATCCAGAGGGCCGACTTGACCCATTTCATCCAGTTCTTGGACAAATCCGCCACTGCAGTACGGACAAACTGCATCTCGCCCCCTCAAATGAACTGTTCTCCTGCATCTGTAGCACCAGTGGGTGTTTCTACTGCTTGACATTATCTCTTCTTCTCACTAGTTTTCATATGTGAAATCAAATGGGGAAAAACAGTTAACTTGTAGCAAAAACGAATAAGCAATGCTTCCAGATGGGAGCCGGGCATCCAAGGATTTTTTTTTTTTTTGCACAATGCAATAACAGTTCCCAGATTGTTTGACTTATACTTAACACAAACAAAACAAGAATATTTCTAGTGTTTCTTCCTATTTATCCGTAAAATGGGCATTAAGAAGTTATGCATTACGAATACAAGAGCAAATGAAGAAAGTTCATAAAAAGGAACTAAGAAAAAACAAATCGGACACAAGAAGAACACTGGACTAAAGTAATCACAGCATTCAGTAGTTGACTGCTTCTCAGTTTCCAAGCACTTACGCTTCGACTACTCGAAAATCAAGTTGGGCATGTTTGTCCAACGCACAAGAAGAAAAGAGGTACAATTGCTGACTAGTCAAACAAGGAAAACCATACAAGTAACCGATCAGCTTTCAAACCTTTCAACGACAGCTCAGTTCTATTTATGCCTGCCCATTCCTCTTATGAAATCAACATTCAACAAGCTGACTGGAGCTGTACATGGAAACCAAGCCATAAACGACTTCAACCAATAAATAGATCCACCCGATTGCCGTAACACTAACACCAATACAAACAAAATACAACGAAGCCCCCAATCTTTCTCCCTCAAATCCTCTGATTCACCATATCTACTCTTAAGATGATCTCGATTCTCATCCAATGGAAGATCCTAAAAAACAATTACTGTATCAAAATCAACTAACAGTCCACAACTCCACATAATCCGACGAGGAAATGAAGGAATCCAATCGTTATAAGCTTTGAAAAAAAAAAAAAAACTCCCATGGAGATAAGTCACGTCACGCATGGAGCAAGATCCTTGGATCCAGAATCAAAACCCAGGAATTCAACATCTCGCTTGTAAATCGAAGCCCAGCAAAAGGGGGAAATTCACCGACAACCCAAATCACAGGCAACGTAAAAACAGCAAATCAAAGAGTGACAAACTGCACTGCTTCGTTCCCCCAATCGAATACGAAGCATCAGAGATTGCCGTCAAAACGATCGAGTGGACAGAAATCGGAGATAGGAACAAGGAACGGGGAAACCTGGATTACCTTTGCGGAGAGCTGGGCGAGGATAGAGCAAATGGATCCGAAGCGTCTTTCAGAGATTCTGCCGAAGAGAGAGAGAGCGGAGAGGCAGCCAGCCCGGCACTGCAGTGGAGTAATGAGAGTCGAGAGAAGCGCCTGTGAAAACAGGAAACTACTGGAAGGAAGGTGGGGGGTTTATTATTATTAGTTAATTTTGAAAAAATTTATCCTAACTGCCACGTGGAGCATTCTGCATAGTGCGTACAATTCGAGCAATAAATGTCAGCTGGTGGTTTGGATCTGTTCGTTTTTTTCTTCTTAAGAGTGTTTTACTTTGCTTTTCAGCAATAATGGTGTGTTGGATTAAACCACATCTCTAATAAGTGTGATTAAGAAGGCATTGAGAATGAGATGTGACGCTTTGTTCAAGCTCTAGCCTAAAGGAAAGTCGTTCCTATTGTTGTCTCGCCACGAAATTTGCTACTACTTAGACCATGCCAAAAAGTTTCGAAATTTGGACCTATATTAGCATTATTGTTAGAAATCGAACAAGGAAATTTATGATTACTGAATCTGATTAAGTTACTGATAAGTTAGTTCCATTTAGTACGTTCGCGACACTGTCTCGTATTGTGTATATCACGAGCTCTTGAAATCAAGATCCGCAGAGGGCCGCGCTTGAAAGTGCCGCTTCTTCAAATTGTGAGTTCTTGCAATTCGATATGACTTCGCATAAGACCATCATTGTTGTACTCCACAATGAGCACATTTCACTAGAGAGTTCCTACAAAAGCTCTTTTATTTCATCCAAGAACGCATCTTGTCAGTTAATGACGAATTCTTACTTATAAATCATGAATCTCTCTCGTATTTTGTTGATATGAGATTTGCATAAGGTGTCATAATTCTTCTAACAAAGCATTTAGAAAATTGTTGGGTAAGTAGAGAAGGGCCATGTAGAAGAAGGGCTTAGGAGTTGGGCCTTGGCCCAAAACCAACAAAGGAGCTAGGGCCTGCAAGAGTGAGGGTGAAGCCCACAGAAGGGTATTGGGGCGCATGAGGACAAAACTAGAGTGGGGACCAGGCATCTCCAACGGCTGGAGACTGGGAGTGCGCCAGCTGGCAAGTGGTCCCTGTAGGCGCCCAGGCTAGGGAGCCCAGGAGCCGCCACGTGGAAGCGCCCGACCGTTGGGCCGTACAGGGCATTTAATGGTGTGCTGACGTGGGGCTGAATTTCAGGAGCCTGGTCGATACCTCGCCTAGTATAAATAGTGCCCGGTAGGTAGCATTTACTCAGGTTGGCTTCTCTCACTAGAAACTTCTCTCGGCACTTATCTCACTAGATTGTTGACTGACTTGAGCGTTGGAGTGCTAACGGGCTTCTCAGAGCCCATTAGGCGCTTGTGGTGCAGGATCCAGGCGCTTAGGAGGGGCCAGAAGGAGGGAATCCCGGTGTAAGCGGAACTGCGACTACGTGGCACAAACAATTGGCGCGCCAGGTAGGGGCCAGCATGGAGGACATGAATGGAGGCGTCGAGGGAGATGATGATTCGAGGTCAGGGAACTCAGGCCAGGAGGAAGGCGGGCGCCAACGGAGTCAAGAGTTGAGCATGGACGTGGAAGGTCAAGGGAGCCCTGAGCGCCTGTCAACTGAGGAAGGGGAGTCCTTGACGAAGAGGGAACTGTTCCGGATCATAGCAGATCAAGATCGGGCCATAGCGGCACTCAGGAGGGAGTTGGAGGGTGATCGGAGTGAGGATGTATTGATGTACAGCCCCGGAGTAAGGAAGCGAGAAAGAGCGGGGGAAGAGTCGGAGTCTCTGCAGTACGGGTTACCACATCCCATCAATCTGGGCCCCGACACGCCCTGGCGCCCCAGAACCTGGCGACCACCCGCCGAACATGCCCAAGATGACGCATGGGCGCCCACAAGGATGGCCAAACGGTTTGGAGTTCGACAGCCCCTGGCGCGGAACATCCTTTTGGAGCCCGCTGGAACCACGATTCCCCCATTGCCTAGCTACGATGGAGTTGCTGACCCAGAAGATCATCTGAACAGCTACTTCACGAAGATGCAGCTTTACAACAGCTCCGACGCCACCTTGTGTAAGGTGTTCCCGTCCACCTTCGCGGGCGTTGTATTGGATTGGTATCATCAAATTGAGGAGGGACGCATAGAGTGTTTCGAGCAGTTTGCGGAGCTGTTCCTGTCCAAGTTTGCGAGTCGGAAGCGCCGAACACTGACCATAGGCGCCCTGTTCAAAGTAAAGCAGAGGGAAGGCGAGGCGCTCAGGGAATTTTACGACCGTTGGATTTCGGTAGCAATGGCGGTAAAGGATGTACAGCCAGCGGTATTGGGAGTTTGCTTGGACGCGTGTACCTCGAGTGAAGAGCTTTGTCGAGTCCTTTCCAAGCGAGATGTGGTCTCCACGGAGGACTTAGATAGGAGAGTGCAGAAAGTGATCATGTTGGAAGAGACCTTGGCAGCGCGAAGGGCGGAGAAGAGGCGCCTGAGGGGTGATGAAATGGAGGTGAGACAGGCGCCGAGGCCCGTGTCTGGAAATTTTGGCCCACCAAGGAGGCCAGAGGCGCCCCGCATCCTGCCTAGGAGTGCCAATAATTTTACAGAGTACAATGACACGCTCAAGAATGTTCTACAATATGTGAAAGATAGGGGCTATCACATCCGCTGGCCAGGGCCCATGCGGGGCCAACCAAATGAGAAAAACCTTGACAGGTACTGCGATTTTCACCGTGACAAGGGGCACTACACAGCAGATTGCTACCAGCTTAAGGCTGAACTCCAAACGTTGGCCGACAAGGGCATGCTAAACGACTTCGTAAGAAGGGCGGAGGACAAGACCCATCGTGCGTACGTGACACGAGCGGCGCCTGAGATCCAAATGGCCGGAAGAGCATCTGAGACACCCATAATCCAGGGGGCGCCTGATACCCTGCTGATCCAAAGAACGCCCGGAGAGACGAAGCTCCGACGGGCGCCTGAGCCAGAGATTCCCCCACCCCCATTCGAAGTGGACCAAGAGGGGGAACCTAGCCGTGTCCGGCTAACGGTCGAGTCCATAACCGGAACCCTTGACTTGAGGGATAAGTTAGAGAGGTCTAGGCGCTTGAGGTCCGCCTCGTTGGAAGCAAGGGCGGCCGTGCACATCCACTTCAATCAAGACCCAGAGGAGGCGTGCCAGGTCCCATCGGAAGAAGCATTGGAGATTCAAGGTGTGATAGCGGGATGTAAGGTGAAGAGAATGTTGGTGGACACGGGTAGTTCGATGGATGTGCTCTTCAAAAGCACGTTTGAGCGCATGCAGTTGGCGCCTGAGCTGGTACGACCCGCGAGTTCCATTTTAGTCGGATTTTCGGGAGCGCCCGCCCAGGTCATTGGGCGCGTGCGCCTACCCGTTACGTTGGGAGATGAAGTGCATTCTGTGACACATGCGGTGGAGTTCGGGATTGTAGATTGTCCGTCGCCATACAATGTGATACTCGGCCGCCCGTTGCTAGCACAATTCAATGGAGTAGCGTCTACATGTCATCAGACCTTGAAATTTGTTGCGCCGCAGGGGATAGGCATCTCTAGGGGAAGGAATGTCCCTAGGTATGCCCGAGAAGAAGATCAAAAGAACCGTTCTCGCAAGCACAGGATTCACAACATCGACATCCGCCCTGAGGAGGCGCCTAGAGCGGAGGCGTTGGACGAAGAGCTGACGGTGGCTTTGGATGAAGGGCGCCCGGAGAGGCAAGTTCGAATATCGGCACAGGCGCCGGAAGCGATGAGAGCCCCCCTAGTAGAATTGTTGAAGGAGTTTGCGGAGCTGTTCGCTTGGTGCGCCCAAGACATGCCCGGCGTGTCCCCAGACGTAGCGGTGCAC